TTTAGTTCTTGTTTCTAATTCTAATTCTAAGTACAATTTCTCTTAAATTAACCATGGGGTTCAAAAGTCTGAAAGCTCATTAAAAATCAGGGATTTGAAATGTCATTTTAACCAGAAAGTAAACAAAGTAGGATTTTGAACATTTTAAATCATGAAAAATATAAATAAAACCCAAACAATATGAAAAAGTTTTAATGTAAAATAAAACAAATACTTCCGATTTCTAGATCACTAATCAAATAAGTATTTTAAGCATAATATACTCTTTAGATCATTCTCAAATAATGACAGAGAACATGATCATTAAAAATTCTGAAAATAATTTTTCACTGAAATTGTGCTAATAACATAATTTGTAATGACAAATAGTTCTCACTAGAGGTCTCAGACTTTTGATCCCCATTGTATATACTGATTTTAACCTAAAAAAGAACATTGAAATTGAATATTGAATTAATGGACATGCTATATACTATCCCATTAAACAAATTAGAAAATACATGTGAAATGATCGTATTACTAAGAATACATGTAACAAGATGTTTGCTGACTTACCTGCAACACACTCTGTCCCTCTTTGTCAGGGCTAATTTGGGAAGATCTCCAGAGCATGTTGGGTGCAATGCAAAGTGCCAGGTTTGTTGCTGTCATCTGATTCACCTCCGAGTGAGTGTGTATCCTGTGTAGCACTCCAAATAAGAGACACAGCAAGGTGACATTCTCCTCCGGCAACTGTGCAATCAAACTAGACAAAAAGACAATAGAGCTTAAACAATGACAGGCAAATGCAACCAGACAAACAGAAACATAAAACACATGCTTAAATAATCTTGCCAACAAATTATTATGTGCAGAAGTTCGTCTGCCCTCTCATACATATGAAAATGCATTCCAGCACAAATATGCACACATACACACACACAAAGATAAAACAACGGGTGTGCATAAACAATTATTAATATCACTCTGTAGGAAATTTTCAAGCAATAAGCAGTTGGCTTGGAATCTCAATTTTTCAAAAGGTAAATCAAAATAGTAAAACTCAGAACAGCAGAAGGAAATATTATCACTGTTTGCCTGCAGTAAAATGCTTGAGTGGCACTTTAATAACTCAGACCAAAGACAGGAATTTCTACGATGAATATCTATTCAGATATTCTGAAGAATATTGTTTGTACAAACTAGTTAAAAGGATATGTTTCTTCAGTACCCTGAGGCAAGTTACAGTAGATGCAAACTACCTAGAAATCTAGGTCATTTTATAACAGATTTACCATGAGCAAAACAAAGGAATCTGAATATTTAATAAAATTAAATAAAATTTAATTAATTTTAAGAACTAAAATTAATTCTTAGATTTGCGTACTTATTACACCTGTCGTTTTGGAAAGTTAATAATAAAAAATAAATGTTTGTTGATAAATAAAATAAGCTCCTTTTAATGTTCCCATTAATTCACGCTATTGTCACCATGTACAGCTTTACAATGTGATCTATATTTTTACGAAATAATTTATGCAAACTTCGATAAGAGTTGTCCATTCTGAATTCCATTATTTTCTAGTGCTAAAAACATGTCAAACGTTGTCTAAAAGAATTCGGACCAGAATGGAGGTCTTCAACCTTGCTCCTAAAGATCAGCTGTTCTGCATAGTTTTAACTCAAACCTGGACCAGCTAATCAAGCTCTTAGGACTACCTGAAAAATCACAGGTGTTTTGAAGGAGGTTGGACATAAACTGCAGAACAGTGGGAGCAGGAGCAGAGTTGCAGACTTCAGGACTAGAAAACGGAGGAAAATGAGAAACTGTGAAAGCACAATTATTTTTTTTTTTTAAAGAGCTCACATCAACATTCAGATGTTTCTGAGAAATATCATATCAATTAAAAATCTACCAGCTGAGCATTCATGCTGCTGTGCTCCCAAAAAACATTTAATAACACTTTGCTGTTCTTTCCTTACAACAGCTGGTCCTCACACTAATTAGTTCAAATAAAAGGTATTTATTTTATATTTAAAGATAAACTGAGCGTCATCAGTTGGACTCTCCATTTTATACTGTACAAACTGTATTTTCTATCCCTTACCCTAACCCTCATAGAAAACTACTGCCATTTTTTAATTTTCAAGGGGGAAAAAAACAGTTTTGTATGTTTTTTAAGCCATTTGGTTTACAAGGACACAGGAAGTGTCCGTATAAACCATATATTCAAGAACACACACACA